AAACTGGTTAATGTCCAGCTGGGCCATACACCATGCAGAAGTTATTTGAATCTCCATGAGACGAAAATCTGTTGGACAAGTTAGCCTCTGTCCTGACCGAGTTATAAAATAGCCTAGGCAATAAGAAGTCAAACCCAGCACTGCATCAAAACAACACCCAGTTATCTTCTTGCTTATTTCCAAGTTGTGAATATTTGACATAAGTAATCTTACCAAGTACTTACATATATAAACATGTTGTTATTTTGCCCTTATACTTGGATGGTGATTTAACTGGGTAGAGCGTCCTGGGTTTAAAACATTTTTTTCCCCAAAACATTGAAAGCATTGCTCCATTGTCTTCTGATAGACAGTGTTGTTAAAGGTCAATCTGAGTGTTAATCCTTTCTGATACCCAACTTCTCACTCTCTCTCTCTCAAATATTTTAGATCTCCCCTTCTGACATTTTATAAGAACTGTTCTCATGTGAATTTTTTCATTCACCCCTGTTAGCGCTAAGGGGACACTTTTGATCTTTATCAGCTCACTTTATCGGCTCAAGATTTTCTCCTTCTGTTTCCCTGGTTATTGTGTTTTCTACATTTTTCTCTAGAACTCCTATTACACAGATGTTGGACTTTGAGACTGATCCTCTATATCTTTCAACTTTTGTTTCATATTTCACATCTTTTGTTTATTTGTTCAACATTTAGGAGATTTCTTCTACTTCAACTCCCATTCTTTCTATTAAAACTCTTGCTTTGAGGGGCACCTGGGTGGCTCAGTGGGTTGAGTGTCAGACTCAATTTCAGCTCAGGTCAGCATCTCACAGTTGTGAGACTGAGACCTGCATCGGATACTGTGCAGAGCATGGAGCCCGCTTTAGATTCTCTCTCCTCTCTCTCTCTCTCTCTCTTTCTGCCCTTCTGCCCATCACCTGCTCACCATCTCTCTCTCTCTCTCTCTCTTTCTCAAAACAAAGAAACAAAACAAAAAACCAATGGGATTGCTTTGGCAATCCCATTTTAAATTTGCCAAAACTCCTCATTTTTCATTACTACTTTTTTTTAAGTAGCTTGCTATTGTTTTAGGATCCAGTTTTTTGTCAAATTTCTCTGATGTTACTAACTAGAATTAAAGAAAAAATACTCTGTCTCTGAACTATGCTTTCCCCCACTGGAGAAATGACCTGTTTGTTCAATTTGGTCTTTTTTTGTGTGCTATTGATGTGCAGTTCATTTTCCTCAGATGTCTGGTAATTGTTGTCATTCACCTATATTTTTGAATGAAAGATAAGGATTGATAACTCAGGTTAATGTTGTATATTTTTCTCCAAGATGCCTTTCCGTGACTGGGGGGCTGATAGTGATGTCTATGTCAATGTCGAGGCTCTGTTGTATGATGTGAGAGCAGAAGTAGGTGAGTGGGCTGCATCTGCCACTGTCCCAGACCAGGAACTTGGCCCCATTTACACTGATCACTTAATTCCTTTACAATCACTTTGTTGATTTCAGCCTGGGGCAAACACTGAATTCTAACTAACATAGGAAGAGTCAATGGGGGGGCCACATGAAACAGATTTGCAATTAATTACTTTAATTAGCCCCTTGGTCCTGTGACTTTCAGGCTTAGATGTCTGTCTAGGACTATGCAGGGAAGAACACATCCCTCTAGAACTGCAGCCTTATTCGGTCATTGCGTTCTGGGCCACAGCCTTCTCCAGTCGGTTATCTATCAACACAAGGCCATAGACTTTCCATCCTTCAGAAAGCCACAGAGGCTGGTCTGTTCTGGTGCGATTCCCCCTGTTCACAGTATGGTTTTGGCTTGGTCCCAGTTTTTACTTCTTCATTGTCATTTCAGTGGAATTTGAAAGAGAAGGTCGGTAGGTGCCAGGACTCCATTCACTGCTCTGAGCTAGAACATTTATATCTTTTAAAACAGAATGCATTGCTACCAAGTTTTACCTGTCCCCTCTACTGTGTTATTATACATTTTCCCCCAAAGACTCCAAGCAGTTAAGAGTATTTATTTTCAAACTGTTATTGTTTTGAATTCTTGTGAATACAGTTTTCATTTTTTGCCCTCACTTTTGCCTTATTGCCACTCTCATGGTACTTCCCAGAATTATACTCTCTTCTTCTAATTGGCTGCTTCTAGTATACAGTAGGTTATCCATAAAGCAAGAATCATAAACCTTGAGGGTGTTTTGAGAGACACTCCTATGGGCAACATGTCTAAGCTTTAGGGCATGAAGTTTGTGACATCTATTCTGATTGGCCTGACACTGTTTATCCTGTTATTTGGGTCTATCTTCAGATAGTTGAAAGCTGCCAGATAAATTAAACTCCAACCAGGAATTATAGATTTATTACCTTCACTAGAGCACTATTTAAATTCCTAATGTCAACACTAATCACATTTTTTCTCTTAGCCATCACTGCAGGTCAATGGATCATAATTCAATTCCTCATGAATAAGTTTTTTACATAAAGACCATTTATTATCAAGACACAATTTTATACTTAAGTTATTGGCAGCCAATAATTTGTTTTAATATGATTTAATTAGCAAATTTTTCAACTGTTTTTTTTTTCCTGTCTTGAGTTTTAACACATGTAATGGTAACCCTAAAAGAAGCTTACAAATTAGACAAAGCAATACTCTAGGATTCAGCACAATCATTTCATTCTTTCAC